TAGCGGACAGGCGGCACCGTCAGGGTTGCCAACCCCTAAGTTTGGGAATTAGGGAGCGAGGCATCATGGGAAACCAGGGGCCAGAGAAGGTGCTGGTGGGTAGCTCTCCTGCTACATGGAGAGGGCGCAGACCACGAGCAGCATCAGGGCCCCCTGACTCTGCTCCAACCATTTCTCGGCAGAGTCTTTGAACATAAAACCCTGACCCGCCTCTCCCTGAGAACCCTGCAGGTTTTGAGAGGCCGCTTCAGCTTCTCACAAGAGCTACGGCCTGAGAAAAATGAAGTCTCCCACTACTTATAACCTCTCAGCATTTCAGAGGAAAAGGTTGGCTGTGGCTGCCAAGATCCAGCAAATATTTGGTTAGCTTGGACAGAATGGGTGCTCATTTTCCAATTCTCACAGATTTCTCTACGCCCAGTTCTTTTATTAAAAACTCCAAATCCAGAGATAAAGTCAAATGGCACTGCAAGCTCCAAGCATTCATCTGTATCCCGGGGAGCAGAACCCAGAATCTAAACAAAGAAAAGCTTAATCAATAGAACTCATGAATTTCCTCCAGGAACAGTACCCAGCATAGCCAAGGAATAAGCAGAGGGGCTCCTCACGGCGGTTTTCTTTGGGTGGATATTTATGGGAGGAGCTACAGAATGTTCCCTCCGCTCACCAGGGCCAGCACACTGTGGCCAATGGGGCAAATCCTGCCTGCTGCCTTTTTCATTTGTTTCTGTACAGCCTGTGAAATACAATTTATTTATTGTTTTACATTTTTAAATAGTTGAAAAAAATCAAAAGAAAAAAAACGATTTCATGACATCTGAAAACTACAGGAAATTCAAATTTGTCTCTATAAATGAAGTTTTATTGTAACACAGCCACGCCCATTTGTTTGTATATTGTCTATGGCTGCTTTGGAGCTATGACAACAAAGTTGAGTAGCTGAGACTGAGGCCACATGGCCCTCAAAGCCTGAAATACGTCCTACCTGGCCCTTTGCAGAAAATGATTGTAGGCAGGCCCCCGGAGCAGAGGATGCAAGACTTGACCTTCACTGGCATTTGAACTAAAAACTAAAAAGTATTTATGCACAGTTAAGTAATTATAAAGCAAACACCTGTTTAACCTAACACGTGGGGTCAAGAAATAAAATATGGTTGGGCCGGACCCCGGAAGTCCTCCAGAGGTGTGCCCTTTCTTCCTGACTAGAGTTAATCAGTATCTGGACCTTTGTGATAATATTTTCTGTGCTGGTGTTTACATGTCTGCCACCTAAACCCTGTATTTGAATTTCCTTGTTTTCAAACTGTATCTACATAGAATAACACTGTAAATTTGCTTTTGTGTCTTGGTCTTTCTTCCAACATAGTTTGTGAGACTCGGCTCTGAGTTACTGCACGTGGCCACAGTGGCTGCAGCCCTTGCTGCATCGCACTTTTACTCCATTACTTTAGCACAGCTCACTTACTCTTTTTACTGCTGGTGGACAGTTGGGTCATTTCCAGTTTTTGGCTATGGAGGATGGCATTGCTATGAACATCTTGTATCTGAACCATCGTCAACTTATGCAAGAGTCTCCGAGAGGGGAGTGGAACTGCTGGGTCGCAGGGTATGCGTATCTTCAACGCTATCCGTTAACCAACTCTACAACATGATTCTCCAAACGGGTTGGACCAAATCACCCTCCCATCAGCTGCCTCCCTTTAGGGAGCACAGAAGCTCTTTGTGTCTTATCAGTCAGCACTATTTCCATCTCCAAATCCTAAACCACCGGAGAGTGCTGCCTGTCCCTCGTCCCCAGCACTTTGAAGAGCCAGACAGCATGGATGGGAGCCATTAGCCCTCCTGCTTTGTATCTTCCCTTAACGTAATTCTCAAGTCTTAAAAATTCAGTGAGAGAACTGCCAGCTTTCTAAGAATGATCCTTGTGAGAAATGTGATGTCTTTTAGAGTCCTGTGCTTGGCAATAGGTTGGAGTGAAAGCATCCTGACCAATCTTTCCACTATCCCACCCCCCATGGGTGGGAGCCAAGGAAACACGTTCATCACAGCCAGAGGGTCAGGCGGCCTCCCAAAGCCTGTAGATCAGACAAGACAGGGGATCAGGGACATAGTACCTGCTCCTTTCCTCTCTCTTTCGGGAAATCAGAGGACTTCAAATGTCAGGGTATTAGGAAGCTGATGCCTGTGTCCTTCTCAGCAGGATTTTAGGAAAACTAGGCAGAAGGGCCCACTCCGATGGCCAGCATGCTGTAACCCCATCACCTGGAGGACCACGAACTAAAGGCACTTCTGAGGCATGATGTAGCACTGCACTGAAAAGGCATAAATAAACCCCAAACCCTAGCACACATTTATCCAGTTTTTGAAGCGGATTAATAGAATAACCAATAAAACATGTATAAAAGCTTTAATTAAATCTGATGAAATAAAACTTCATGTTTTATTTATGGACACTCCCAACATGTAAAGGATTCAGGGACACATGCATTTTTACTGCCATTTCATCCTCATATCTATAATTAAATCCAGGCTGCAGCTCTGGCCCAAAGCGATGCGGCATTTTAAAGCTGGCCTTGGCCACGCCCTCCCCAACCCCCATCTGCTTTTAATTATAATTACCATCCTAGTATGAGGGAGGCTGATGGTGAAACTAAACAAAATAATGAAACAAACAAACAAAAAATGGTTGTTGCCATTGGGTTTTAAAACGACACACTGAAGGAGGATTTCAGGCAGGTGGGTGCACCCTCTATTTCCAGTTTTATTATGTACCAAGTGCACAATCCCTTCATTTTACTTTTGACATATAAAAAGGACTTCATGAAACAAGACAAAATAACTTATGATTATATGAAACATAACTGTGACAAATCACAAAACTATACATATTAATAGAAAAAAAGGGTACCTAATTCTTTAAAAGATTTATGACAATAAGCACCAGATGTGCCCCTAGAGTAAAATCAGCCCCATATCCAGTATGATATATGCAGTTCATTTCTCTACGTGAGTGTGTATAACTATGTACAAAAGTCTGTGTGATTTATGGAAAACAGATTTCCACTTTTTTCCCCCAAAGTGCTTTATGTCAGCAACATTACACAGGATGCTCTGCTGTCTGTACAAAATAAATCTCTTCTTTTTTACACTCACCATTTGTCCATTGAGTGTTTTTGTTTTTTCTTTTTTTGCTTTGCTCATGACAAAAAAAAAAAAATGTAACCACAGAAATTCCACACCACCAACAAAATGTGCCATTAAAAATGCTGCTATAAAACATGGTCAAAACAGTCAAATAAAATACCAAATAATTAAATTGGACATTTACAATCACTATTTCCAATACTTCAAGGCAATTGGGAAGCAAGGTTGTTGGATAGGGGTCGAACATTTACCTCTGTCCTAGGGTGCTAATGTGCATGACAACTGCTAATGTTAAAACAACACCAAAGCTCTGTTTCATCAGTGGAAACTTTGTTGTGATCTACTGAAGACCTTCTGTTCATTTTAGAATCACCTAGATAATTTGGGGGAGACACGGGTAAAGGGAGATGCCCTATAGGACTAGTAAATATTTAAATAATATTTAACAGCTGATCAGAGGCTAAATTACAACTTACATTTTGATGCAGTCCCTTTAGGGAATTAAGACAATGCAGCAAATGAAATGTCTCTAGGCATACTGATTTTTTTTTAATATAATAGGATAATTGGCTTCGGGCTGTGTGTATTTTCACAAGTACGAGTTTTTTAAAAAGGGGGAATGACAGTCTCAGTTAGGATGTTTATGAAAATGGTTACACATCAAGAGTCAAAAGGCCAGGAAGTGGAAGAGAATAATTTTCTGAAGTTTCCACTTTTACTGCTACAAACATAATGATGAAAGAGTATATAAATCATGTGCAATGGGAAAGCAAGCAAGGGACAAATTTTAAGGCCAGGCGAGATCCTGGAATCTAAGGCCAGAGTGCATAGTCTTGAAGGAGCCTGGAGGTTTCATGTCTTGGGCCCTAAGCTCAAACCTGCAGCTGTGGGGAAACACGGTGTGTGTAGGGGCGGGGGGAGTGAGGGGCTTTGCAAGCTGCACTGAGCCCTCCCTCTGCTAAAAGGAATGCCCCTCAGGGGCAGGGCCAGTCCCCGTTGGGAAAGGAGGCCCTGCAGCGGCTGCTGCCAGGTGTCCCTTGGCTCCTTCCCTCCTCACTGAGGCCAAATGCAGGCCTAGAGACATGCAGGAGCGTCTCCTTCAGCCAAAGTTTCTGAGGTTCAGCTTCTGGCTTTGTCCTCCTTCCTGTTTCCACCTTAAGTTATAGCAAAAAGCCACGGGCAGGCTGACGTCAGCTGCAGTAGCAACCATCTTTCCATCTTCGTCCTCCTCATCACACAAATATGTTTTGAGTTCCCCACAGAGGATTCAGTATTGAATGGATAGATTGTCTCTCTAAGATATCAGAGCTTTCCCTTCTCTGAGGGTGTGACAAAGGACATGGGTCCCTTTTTAGGCCAAGGGACATAACCCATGAACCCTGCCAGAAGGGTGGGACTTTGTGTGCAGTCTGAGAGCTCATTTGGAAAGAAAGTCTGACGTGCGTCCTTTTGTAAAGCAGAAAAGATTTTTGTAAAGTGAATAACTCGTCTCTTTTGCAGACATGGACATCTGTGTGATGGCTCTTCTCAGATGGGAGCCCACTAGCCAGAGAAACTAGACTGACTGCGTGTGCTGAGTGCACGTAAAGACAGACCCCGTGCTTGGTTCTTTATGTGCCTTATTCTACTGCACGTCAGAGTGAAGTCCGGAATCAGGCAGAACACCACCGCCTGTGCAGCCAGACTGGAAGGACCCGCCTGTCAGGATACAAACTGTCACTGGATCTCAAGTCTGACACCAAGCTGTTTAATTGTCTTGTTGAAGATTGTAATTATCTCGGTTTGACAAATAGCATTGTTTCATTTTTCTTCAGAGAACATTTTTAAAGAGAGAGAAAAGAAATCATGAGACGTGAGAGCACTGGAATGTCAGAATTTACTGGGAGTCTTTGGAGTTTGGCTTATTTTTATAGTCTCTGCTATAGGACTCCGGATCTTTTTAACAGCTTGGTAAAGGTGTTTTTAACAGCTTGGAAAATGGCTTCCTGTTTAGGTTTGATATCAAATGGCTAAGAGCTCTGTGAAAATTCCAGGCCCTCATAAACACAGTTTCAGTAAAAAAAAGGTTGCTTCCTTCTGGCCACCTTTCCAGAGCTGCCCCTCTATCTGCCTTGGGCCAGACCTTGCTCAGAGCTGGTGGTCAGGCAATGGCGGATGGTGGGAGTGCCTGAAGCACAGTCAAGAAGAGGGTGAGAGGGATGCCAAATGGGGAAGGGAGAGACAGACACACAGACAGATAGAGGGGAGGTCCTGGCGGAGGAAGCAGAGGCTGTGCGTCGGGCACTTCTGGTTTGGTTTTCTGGGAGAACCAGGAGCACGCCTCCATGCTCCCTGCTCTCAGCTTCTAGCTGGTCTCTCGTCACAGCACCGGAGCGGAGGCGACGGGTGGACCTTTTCTTTTGAGCAAGGTCTTCGAGGTGGAGTCATGGAGCAGAGCAGTCAGCCCACGAGGGTCTCTGTGGCAGCACTGGGAAGGGGGTGCCCCCTCATCTCCCTCAGGTGGCCTTGGTTGAATGCAGAACTAGCATTCCAGGTGCTCACAGGTGCTGCGAGGCAGGGCCAGGTGGAGGCCGAATGTACGGAGTTGGGGTGATGAAAATGATTATCTCCATCCAAAGAACAGACCTTTAAATATTTTTTTTTAACCTTTTAAAGTAGGTATGAAGTCTTTAAAATGAAAGAACTAAGGTAGGTTGCAGGAATATAAAACAAGCTGTAGTGCTTTTCAAAGGACTGTGCTTGACAGACCTTCTTATCTTGCTTTTGGAGAAACACTGAAAAGCAACTGGTTAGCCTGGGAATATCTCAGGGGAGAGAGGCAGCGGCTCACTGGCACGCCAGGCCGGTGCTGGGGGGCCCGGGGCCCCTCTAGGAGTCGAGCCCTCACCGTGCTCCGGGCTCGGAACGTGGATTTCCCTGGCTGTGCCTGGCTCGGTGTCAGCCAGCAGCGAGGAGAGGACGAGCGCTGGGCCCCGCGGTTCACTGTGCTGCCGGCAATTTGGGCTGTTCTTCCCTATTTGGAGTTTTCAGCCAGGGTGATCCCCGAACTACATTTTCACCTGCACATCATTTCATTGGTATTCTTTGAGGGTTGACAGGCAGGAAGTAACAGGTATCCAGTAGAGTGAGACTCTGAATTCCCTTTGAAAAGAGTCCTGCCGGTTACCGGCAAACACAGAGAGAAAAAGGAGCAGCTGCAAACATGCCTGCAAAGCCCAGCTCTGACCATCCAGCCCGGCCTTCCAAAGACACACCTGTGACTTGGTAGGTTCTGCTGATTCGCTCGACATCCTTTTCTTGCAGTCTGTGAAAGCATGAGAACAAAAGGTGGCAAGGAACATAAGATTCTGGATGCCGGTGGTACTGGAGGCTGGGGGGCTTTTAGCCTTCAGTATAGACAGAGGAGAGCTGGCTAGGACAGCGGTCCACAGCACTGATCTGCAGGAACGTAGCGTCTTCAGGCCCGCTGCGAAGAGGCTCCCCAAAGAGGCTTGAGGAACCGGAAGGCAAATCATACACTGGAAGAGAAAGAACGCACAAGTAAACCTGGCCTTGGCACATCCGCCAGGCATGCAGGCGGCACCGGCTGACTGGGGGTCAAGGAGGCAGCCTTGCTGGGCCAGGCCCTGCAGCGGCTCTCTGTTTTCGGGCACCTTGAAAGGGACGAGGCTGACGTGCAGGCAGACGGCTAAAATCTGACTTGGCACAAAGTGGTCTGAGTAGGAGTAAAACTGAAGTGCCGTAAAGAAGGGTGAGGGTGGCCTCAAAAAGGAGGTGATTTTAAATCTGAGTAAGAAAAGGATGGGATTCTCACAGATGGAGAGGTAGAGAAAGAACATTCCAGAAGGATGAAACAGGGAGCAAAGATAGAGAGTAGGGGCATATGGGGCAAGCGTGCCGGCAAAGTGCAGGCACACAGCCTGTGAGGAAGACACGAGACATGGGAGGGCAGGTCGGGAGAGTCTGATCAGGCTCAACTCCTGGGGGCTCTGAATGCCTCACTGAGAAGAGCAGACTTTAGACACCTGGAAACTATTGACTGTATCTAAGCAGGAAATCGCCTTATTTTAGCCTTCAGTTTTGGAAGGCAATGGTTCTGGTAGCATGGAGGGCAGATGGTAAAGATAAGGAGCTGACTCAGGGACACTTGCTGGAAGGCTGTTGTCTTCATCTGGGAGATGTGATGGCACGAACGAGGGTGGTGGGAGTGGAAGATGAAGAGGAGAGACACTTCACGGGCAGAGTGAACAGGGTTGATACGGTCTGGGGAAGCCCTCCCGGTCTCACTTGCTAGTCTGCCCGTGTGTCTAAGCCACAGAGAACAACAACACACCTGTAATGCCCGAGTGAGCCGAGAAGGCTCTGTGGAAAACGTCAAAGCCAGCCTGGCCCATGGACGCGGGGAGCAGGCAGTCCTCGAAGGAAGGCCCCACATTGCAGGAGCTGCTCGGTGGCACGGTTCTCTGAGAGTCAGGGTAGTGCGGGGGGCAGAGTGTCTGCAGCTGCCCATAAAATCCTGAAATGCAAGCACAGCCTTGAGCTACTGCAGGGCACAAGTTCCAAAGATCATTTCAACCCAGCTCGACCCTCACTCAGCCTGGCTTCCTATGACAAAATCCCTTTAACCCTAAGTCCACCTATAAAGCCTTCTGAGCAAGTCTCCATAATGCACTCTTTGAGCAGAAGCTCTTCTACCCTCAGGGAATTTCAAGTTTGCTGGTGATGACATTCTTTATTGCTTGCTCCAGTACCTGAAATGGAAGGGGTGCTCACCTTCCTAGACTCTCCAAACAGTCCTGGACACTGAAGATCTGACCTTCAGGGGACATTCCTACCCCCTGCCCTCCCACCAGGTTTTGAGTGCATCTTCCTTAATTTCCTGTATTCTATATTCTATTCTGTATTTCACATTGGTAAAAAAAACCTGAAGAATACTCTTTTAACGATGCCTACCTTAAAAAAAAAAAGCAACAAAGATTTATCCATTAGTCCTTCTAAGAGATACATCCATACATATTTATATCTTCCTCAGCATTTTGAATAGGTACACAGTATCCCATAGCTGGATATATTACAACTTACTTAACTATTATTACGTTGATCTTTGCAGTAAATGGGAAAACTGTATGTGAATAAATCGTATATTAAATATATGGGAAGATTTCTTAATATTTGAAAATAATCAACATTTTGCTAATCTTGTTTCATTTCTTGCTCTCAATTTTTTCTTACTTAATGGAGTTTCTTCTTGTGGTCCTATGTGGTCCTTTTCTATGATCCTCCACACCGTCCATGATACCTTAATTTTTTCTTCTTCTGTCTTGCTTCATGATAAATTTAAGTAATAGATTATTTTCTTGAGTATATGTTTTTTTAAAAAAAATTAATGAAACTTTCATTCAATACTTTATTTCACAGTGTCTGTTTCCCCAACTCTAAAATATGAAAGTCACTGTCTATTTCAGAGGGTGACTATGAACATTAAGCAAGTCATTGGAAGAGGAAGCCCATACATGGCATTTGAAAGCACTTTATAAATGTCAGTTACTATTGATATCATGACTGTTTCTGGTGGAAAAAATGAGGGATTAGCAGAGGAAGTGCCCCAGGGTTCCTTCCACAAACATTACATGATGGAGAACACAAAACTAATTCATGGACTTTGAAGCCCTAGTCCTGTGTGCTTTCCTCCACTAGAACTGCTGCTTCTTACCCAAATCACCTATCAGCAGGTGGGGAAGGTGCTCTTTGGGTTCTTTTTAGCCCTCTTTAAGGACAACTAAGGCGCACTGACATCCAGCCTACTATGCTCACAGCTCTCTTCGTTTCTGACCAATACTCTCAAGGCAGCCCGTATAACTGCTCAGAGTCCCCTTGGCCAGGAGGCTTGTTCTATGGTGCTACGAACATCACCCTAGAATGTGTGCCGAACTGCTCATAAAGATACAGGCCAGCCCTCTAGGAGCTTGGAATTCAAGACAGAGGTGTGGATACAGATTTATGCACAGGGCACACTCGTAGTAGAAAACAAGATAATAATATCCATTATAAGCAACCAGTAGTATACCTTATATAGAATCAAGAGGAAAAATCCATATAAGGTTTGGGGGAAAGAGTAAATGCACGTTAGCAGTACTGACCAGGAAAATACATAAAGAAATTCCATATCAAGGCAGGAGAAGAAAGAATGGAAAACTGCTGGCTCTTCTCTTTCCTAAGGCTTCTGTGTGGACTCAATAGACAGATGGGCAAAGGATCCAAACAGACCACTCAAACACTCATACAATTATCAGCCAATATGGACAAACCGTCAGTCCTCTAGCCATCAAAGCAATACAAACCGAGACAATGACAAAATACTACATTCTACCTATCACATTAGCAAAGATTTCTGAAAGTCACTCTTGGTGCTGGAGTGAGGCTGGTGAAGAGGGCACAGTGTTGGAGACACTGCAAAAGAGTATAAGCCTCTGGAAAACAACCCGACAACCTGCGTCTAGAACCTAAATGTGTTCATATTTTGGACATGGGACTTTTACTTCCAAGAATGCTTCCTAAAAGTATATTCTGAAAAACAGAAGAAATTCTGCACAGAGGTAGACATCACAGAGCTAGTTGTTGTAACAGAAAACTGAAGAGTCAAAATAGCCAACCACAAGAGAATGGTGAAGCAAACAGTAATACACTTACATGATGGGAATACTCGGTAACCACTAAAATAATGTCTACAAGGAGTTTTTAACATCATGGAAAAACCATCATTAAGGTTAGAATGGGTTTTTATAAAAGCAAGATACAAAATTGAATATGGAGACTGGGGTCGGCTATGGGGAATTCAATGTATAGGACAGATTGCAAGGCAACATATCTATAGTTGTCTTTGGGGGTGGTGGTTTGGCTTTTATTTTTCTGAATTTTAATAGTAATGAAGAACAAGTACTCTGGAGCCAGACTTCCTGGGTTCAAATCCTAGCTCAACTACTTACCAGCTGTGTAGCCCTGATGAATTACTTAGCCTCTTGGTGTTTCAGCTTTCTGCTTTGTAAAATGGAGTTAAAAGTAGTACCTACACCTCACTGAGTTATTATGAAGATTTAAACAGTTAATTAATTAAATATAATACATTTATATATTATATATTATGACCTGATTTAATTAATTATATAATTAATATTTATATGCTCTAATAATATAATTTATATAACTATGTTGCCAAATAAAAAAATTTTAAAGTAAAATTATTTCACAATAATACATTCGGTTCCTAGATCCTGCAGTAATACACAGATCCCGATTTCTTCATTCATCCCAGTGCAGGCTCAAAACAGCAACACGTTTGAGTGGTCAGAAAGACCTGGGATGTTCACCTTCATGGTTTGGGAGGTTCCTTGGACCCCTCTTGACTTTGGGTACCCAGTGGCCAGTCACACGTAATCATGGCATCCCCATCAGTAGGAAAATGTTACCATAAACCATCATGGTTGGTTTATTAGAATGAAATGTCTCCTCACTGAGCAAAATAGACAATATTTGCTATTTATATTCCTATGACGCTCCACTCAAATCTGTCACCCATAAATACCCTGATAGCATTCCTCAGCGTAAAATTAACCTTCCAGGAAGAAAGACATTTTTCACTAAACTCCCACAACTCCCCAAATAGGGACACTAATCATTCAGGTATGTCAGGGACAGTGATAGAGATGTTCACTGGCCTTTTGTGAAAACCAATTCATTCTCTCTTTCCTGTCTTCTCCCTGCTTTGAAGAGAGAGGAGGAATTTCACATGGCTTCAATCTACATTTGAATGTTGCGATGTATAAGAGTATAAAAGGTCTGTGATGCAGTGAAATACACCGGGTGAAGTTAAATAGTAAACCCAGTATTCTGGGCTCCATCTCCCAGTTTCCCCTGTCTGGATGAGTGAGAGGGCAGAGCAGACTGTAATTCCTGCCTGTGGGTGTCTTGGCTGACACGAGAAACAGTCGAGACCAGAATGGCTCCACAAGCATGTTTTATCACTCTCACAGCCAACTCAGGGAAAGAAAATCCTCCTTATGAAATCCCGTCCTTCATGAAGCCAGATCCTAGAGATGCCAAATACACTGGTGTGGATGACTGTGGCCACTCAGATCAGTGGGCTTTAACATACCCTCTTCCCACTGCTATTTCCATAAAACTAACAAAATTAAAAAATTCCATTGGGGTCTTGCCACACACACAAACCCAGAGAAAGTCTAGCTCGTTTTCTGATGAATGGCTCCTGTATTCCAGCTGTTGGATTTCATGGAGTAAATCTGGAAGGAACACTAGCTTTAGGACCCAAAGCAAAATGAGGCAAGATGTTAACACATTTCGTGGGCATAAAATATAAGAGGGATGGCAAAGTCGGCCAATCTGTCAGTCAGCCAGTCAATGATAGTTATCAAGTGCTGGTCAAGGTGCTTTTGGAGAGACCAAAGAGATGGAAGTTAAGACCGTGTCCTTGGGTATTGATAATGCAGTTGGAGCAAGAACACATACACTTATAATAGCTTAAGAATGCACAAATAAGCTTATGTTAACAATAAATGTTAGCCATTACATTTAGTTAGCAAATCACCCCTTCCCCATTTTAGAAGTTATTTTACCTCCAAGAATGGAGGGGTTGGGGAGGAATTTGCCGCTCCTGAAGGTCAAGGAGAATCATTCCTCCTCTTGTCAATTTTGGCAAGTTTTTTCCTCCTCTCTAAAAACAAACTTATTTTTCTAATTATAAAAATACTTGGAATTAAGTGTACCAATTAGGAAATATAGAATAGTATATGCAAAGAAAGGAAAAAATTACCTTTATTTCCACAATTCTATATGGCCAGATGTATACACACAAAACTACAACGTTATATACATTGATTTGCATCCTGTTTTCTCCCCTATTATCTATAGCTTTACATAGCACTACAACTCATTCTTAAAAATCCCTCCTTTACTTTGTCACATGGGGTCACTGATGACTCTGTGGTGACTGGTTAGATCAGGAGAGCACTGTCACCCTTGTTGCTTAATGATAATAAAGCAGCCCCATGAAGCTGGGTGTGGACTGCCTTTCCAAAGTGGAAGGGGAGTGGAGGAAGTTACAGGAGAAAGGAATCAAATGACTAAATATGACAATGGAACAGTATTCTCCAGGGCAGCGCCGTCCAGCAGAACTCTGTGTGTTGATGGAAATGATCTGTGTCTCACTGTCCAACACAGTAGCTGCGAGTGGTTACTGAGCACCTGAGAGGTGGCTAGTATGACTGAGGAACTGACTTTTAAATTTTACTTAGCTTTAATTAATTCAAATTTAAATGGCCACATATGGCTTGTGGCTACTGTACTGGACAGTACCCCTCCAGGGCAAGCTGCATTCCCAGGTTTCACATACTTTGTTTCAGGAATGTTTCTGATTAAATTCATGGATAAAAAAACATATGACCCACCAAGAATTTAAATAAAAGCCAGATAATGATTTTTGGCCTTCAAGATAGGAAGTCT